AAAAAAAATTTACATGAATACATTTTGATGGAAGAAACCACTCATTAGTGACACTTCCCATGATTTTTTTAATTTTTTATTTTCTTAGAATTTTTATTTTATATTTCCAATGACATAATTATATTATTATTAATTGATATTAGTAGNATATTATTATTAATTGATATTGGTAGAAAGAAGATCACGGCACCACTTACGTTTTAAACGTCTGGGTGGGTCTCCAGGTATGGACAAGGTTGAGAGGTTTTTTATTAGGGGATTTGAGTGGGAGAGTAATTTACTGTGGAATCTTTTATAGTAGGATATGGCTTCTTCGNGGAATCTTTTATAGTAGGAAATGGCTTCTTCATGAACTGTTTTTAAGTTGAGATCGTTATGAAGTGTATAATTAGAGATATAAGGAGGTGCATTGATTAGTTTTCTTAAGACAATATTCTGAAAGCATTGAATTTTATTGGTATTGGATTTTTTAGCATTTCCCCATAACTGAAGGCCGTAAGTCCATATGGGTTTTAAAAGGGATTTATAAATTAAAAGTTGAACATTGATGTTTGAAAATTTATTGTTTGTGATTAATGATTTGAGTAACCGCAGACGGCTATTTAACGACGAGCGTTTATTTTTAATGTGCTGAGCCCACGTGAGCCGACTATCTAGTGTAAGTCCGAGATACTTGACAGAAGAATAGGAGGGGATTTGTACTCCATATAGGGAGACACCAGGACAAGGGAGAAGTCTTAAAGTAAAGGTAGTATGAACTGATTTTGATTGATTAATTTTAAATCGCCATTTAGTGTACCATTCTTCCATTAGGTGTAGGTGATTTTGCAAATTGACGGATGCAATCTGTGGGTCAGAGTTATAGGATAAGATAGCTTTGTCATCAGCATAATCTGCAACAATGGTGTTAGGAGTTGTGGGTTGGTCTGAGGTATAGATATTAAAAAGGATTGGAGATAGGATACCTCCTTGTGGGACTCCCGCATTTATAGAGGCTATGTCAGATACTGAAGAACCAAGACGAATTTGGAGAAAAACGATCAGTTAAATAGGATTTAAAAAACAGGTAGTAAGAGGGATGCAAAANATATTAAAAAGGATTGGAGATAGGATACCTCCTTGTGGGACTCCCGCATTTATAGAGGCTATGTCAGATACTGAAGAACCAAGGCGAATTTGGAGAAAAACGATCAGTTAAATAGGATTTAAAAAACAGGTAGTAAGAGGGATG